TGCAGAAGTGGCCAAAGTTGGTGGGATTCTCCACAGATTGGGGTTATCATTGCAGAGCAGCTAGACGGAAGCCCTTATTAAGACCTGCCAACATAGTCAGACGTAAGAAGTGGGCAAATGATATGATGACCAAGCCTCTGGACTTTTGGAAGACCGTATTGTTCTCAGACGAATCAAGATTCGCTCAATTTTCGGACAGTGGAAGGATATGGGTCTGGAGAATGCCTCACCAAGAGTTTTGGCTCAACAGATTGCAGCCAATTGTGAAGCATGGTGGTTTCAGCGTGATGGTTTGGAGAGAGATCGAGCTTAGTGGAGTGCGTTGGCAACATAAATTTTGCGAAATACGTCGAAATATTGGAGGAAGGACTCTTGCCACTTTATTCCTCGGGTTTCGTGGACAACGTTGTTCCAGGAAGATGGAGCACCGTGTCACACTGCTAGAAACACCCAAAAGTGGCAGGAAGAAAATGGTATCCAGAAGTTGCCCTGGTCGAGCCAACCTCCTGACATGTATCCCATCGAAAACCTCTGAGCCATACTCGACCGGCAAGTCAAGAAACAACAAAAAAAAACCAATTTCGAAGAGCGATCTACTCCAAGTTTTGAAGCAAGAGTGGGCAAAAATACCACAATCTAAAATTGACGAGATGATTCTCACGATGCCCCAAAGGATCATCGAACTCCACGAAGCGAAAGGAAGATCTACTAGCTAGTAATTAAATTATAAATATATCAATTCATGTGAATATGACTGAAAATTTTCATTTTTTTCTGAAAAGGTGTTGTCTATTTACTTGTGACCACGGTGTGTATATATTTATTTATTTTATTTTTATTTTTTGAGGAGCCTTAATAACAAAACTAAGGAAACTGCACAATGTTCATATGAATGAGTGTTTATAATTCCCAGTGGTTCTTCAAATCGGTTTGTAACAAAATAAGCAAATGTACGAATAATTAACACGGTTTCAAGCACCATCCTTTCTTTTATCACGAACTCTAACATTGTACTTTCAAAATTATTCGAAACAGCATCATTCGTTCAAAGATTGCAATTTTAAATTAATAGTTCTTGTTTTTATGGGCATCTTAATTCCAAAGTAAGTGATCTTTTGTAGGCACAGTTTAAATCAACTGCTCGGACATCATTATTATACTGACTAAAGTTATTGACATCTGTTATCTAAGGAAAACACAGCAAACGTTTTTGTTATACTACAAAAAACAACAGTAACGAATTTAAGTTACATGTTATAGATAGGTAAAATGTTTGAACCCGTTAAAGGTAGCCAATCAGCCTGGCGTCTGTCGGTAGTTTAATTAACGATAACAATCAGTTACACCTATAAAATAAAATAAAAAATGCAAAATGAACAAAATATAAATTATTTTGAGACATCTGGTATAACAATATTTTATTTAAAACTAAAAGCATTTTGTCTTATTGACAAAATTCGCCGCCAGTTGATTATTTACAAAAATTGTGTTTTGTATATTTCCAGGAACATGTTCTAATGAAATCAAACCAGCTTTGCCACCCAAGCCAACTAAAGTCCCTCCTCCGTACAGAGCCCCGCCGCGCCCTCCAGTGCCAGCTTTTGGATTTAGACCATCTACCGCGCCTCCAGAAAGAACAAGGACCATGTCTGCTCTGCCTGGCAGTGCTGAAGAACCTGGATATAGTAAAGAACTAGTACGTTTACCATAAAACTTTAATAATAATATTCATTCATGATAATGAATAGCTTTTTCTTTGTTTTGATAGTCTTTGATTAATCTCCTATTGTTTGTTTTATCATGACAATGGAACTTTTAATTTGATCATAAATCCAGTAATTTGATAATAATCTCATAACATGAGTTATTAAGTGTTTCTGAAAAGACAATATCATAGTTTAAATAAACATACTGAAATATACTATTATTTCTGATATTAGTTGCCCATTCTCCTATGGTGGATCAGAGGTAAGCTTGAGGGCTTATAACACTAAATTTCGGGGCTCGGTCCCTGCGGCGGAAACAACACAGATAAGTCATCGAACAGCGTTGCGTTTTAAACAAACAAACGAATAAACTAAGAATATTTGATAACTCAAGATTGTTGTATACTAGTGTCATCATCTCCATGTAAATTTAAAATATGTACTGGAGTACGAATGTTTATAACAGACATTATTAGGTACTACACCAGTTAACCGTCAATTGTTGTGGTATACTAGTGTCATCATCTCCATGTAAATTTAAAATATGTACTGGAGTACGAATGTTTTTAACAGACATTATTAGATACTACACCACTTAACCGTCAATTGTTGTGGTATACTAGTGTCATCATTTCTATGTAAATTTAAAATATATACTAGAGTACGGATGTTTTTAACAGACATTATTAGGTACTACATCACTTAACCGTCAATTGTTGTGGTATACTAGTGTCATCATTTCTATGTAAATTTAAAATATATACTAGAGTACGGTGTTTTTAACAGACATTATTAGGTACTACATCACTTAACCGTCAATTGTTGTGGTATACTAGTGTCATCATCTCCATGTAAATTTAAAATATGTACTGGAATACGAATGTTTTTAACATACATTATTAGGTACTACACTACTTAACCGTCAATTGACCGACAGTTAGCATGTAAATAACTTTCAATGCGTAACATTGTGTCAAGACCTTCTTAATAGAGATAGCATAAGTTTGGAATATGTAATGTTCGTAAACTGTGTAGTACGCAAAGCATATTTAGCATTTCCCATCTCGGTTTAATAAGGCGGATGTTTCATGTTCATCTAGATGTTTTAAATTTTTTCCCACGTACACGCTTCTAGCTCTTTCTATAGTTTTGAGAACGGAATTTTAGTCAAGGAATGTGGCCAACTTCCTTTACTTTTTAGCTACTTATTTTTCTGAGTCATTCCACACTAGTCTCACATGCGCCTTCTTCTGGGAGAGATTGCTGAATAATACTGCACGCTATATAAATGACTGTGATCTTTTCCACTGGGAGATCAGGTGATACGTCTATCATTTGTACTCCTTCATTTCTTATTGAAATGGTTATCCATGACTTGGATAGTACATGTTCACTGAGAGGGATATCATCATAGAATTTTGTATATGATGGTGTGCTTTCTTAGTCTGTAAAATAATGTCATTCTTTTTACAAACTACCAGTTTAAAGTCAAAGAGATTGTCAGTAGAAGCCCTGTTTAGCGCCCATTGTACTCGTTTGTATTTGATCGTTTTGCAAATAAAGATTACTCATCATTTTGTTTTTACAGCGTGTTTGATCTCAGTTAGAGTCAGAGACTTCAGATTCAACTCCTTGATATTTTTCATGGTGTTTAAGATATCAGTCATGTTGTTTGGCTTTCCGAAATGACTGTGTTTGTAGAATATCTATTACGTTGTTTATTTTGCCATCATGGATATGTTTATAGAATATTGATCACATTGTCTTGCTTTCTGAAATGACTGTGTTAATAAGACGTTTAATTTCCCTAAATGGCCGTACTTGTAGGTTGTCGATCACATTGTGTAATTTTTCAAAATTATTGTGTTTCTATAGTAGATTGAATACGTTGTTTAAGTTCCTAAAATGACTCTGTAGGATATAAAGTACATTCTCGAAATGACTGTATTTATAGGATATCGAGCACGTTATTTAGTTTTCCGAAATGTCCATGTTTGAAGGATGTGGACTGCATTGTTTAATTTCCAGAAACGACGGTCTTTAGAAAATGTTTTCAAATACATGACATATCACTAGAAAAGCAGATGATGATAACATAGCAAACACACCGTAAATAATAATTGTTTTTCTTTCATTCGATGGTTAGGGCACTCGATTCACCATCTGTGGGTCACTGGATCGAAATCAGGCGCCGAACATATTCGCTCTTTTAGCATTGGAGCGTTATAATGTGATATTCGTAAACTGTGTAGTACGCAAAGTACGTAAAACGTAGCCCAAGAATTGGCGTTGGGTGCTTCTTGTCGGCTGCTATTTCTCTGGTCAGTAATTCAAATTTAGGAATGGCGGCAGATAGTCTTAAAAGATTTAAATATTTGTCATAAACAAATAAACAAGTCCTTTCACTTTTTTTAAATTATAATAAATAATAAAAAACAATGTTTTATATTTACACAATAAAAACTTTAGTGAAGCTGTACGGCTTCCACTTTAAAATATTGCTCTACAACTACGTTTCGACGTAATCTACGTCATCCTCAGGAGTAACTTACAAGACTATTTTATACTTTCCCCCTTGTCACATTACTTCATGGTTATTTACATATTTCATTAGTGTAATTAAAAAAATAAAAAATAAATAAATAAGAATTATAATATATC